ACATGAGGTCAATAAGACATTGGGGCAGACAGGACATGAGGTCAATAAGACATTGGAGCAGACATCACATGAGGTCAATAAGACATTGGAGCAGACATCACATGAGGTCAATAAGAAATTGTAGCAGACAGGACATGAGATCTATAAGACATTGTAGCAGATAGGGCATGAGGTCAATAAGACATTAGGGCAGACAGGGCATGAGATCAATAAGACATTAGGGCAGACAGGACATGAGGTCAATAAGACATTGGGGCAGACAGGACATGAGGTCAATAAGACATTACAATGAGATCAATAAGACAGTACAATGAGATCAAAACTTATTTTTTCACTAGCCTGTAGTGTACACATTAACATCTCTATTTACTTTACTAATACTCCTCACTCCAGGACTTAAGAATGTAGTGATGCGTGCACTGCACCACTCATATTTCTCACAGCATGCACCACTTAAAAATCTAGGCTATAAAGAATTCATGTCCTGAATATTTTTGCTGAGTCAGCATTTTTAAACATTTGATTGGCAATTTCAAATTGCTAGGAAGTTATTTGTTGAAGTATTTTTTTTTAATATAAATATTTTGTTGTAGTGCAGCATTTTTACAGACAAATGCAATGTATCATGTTTACAGTGTTAGAGCTATTTAGTTTAAAAAATGAAAACATTTTAAATGGTTTAAACATTTCAATTAAAAATCCTGGAAATAAGTATCGATGTAAATTTATGTTCTATATTGTGCACTTTATTACAAAAATAACAACCATGTAAATGAATTTCCTACTAGTTATTTTCAATTATTTTTTTTTAAACTAAATTATTGTGTTTTAGTCATTAAGTTAGTGACAGGATAATTGTGTAGTTAGTAAATGGATGAGGACTACAGCTGAAATAAGAAGTTTACTTAGAATCAAACATTTTCAGAAGAGTAAATTGTTAGACACTAAAAAAAATGTATTGGGGATGAAGGAAAGTTTATTTCAACTCATTTCAGTTTGCTCCATTCTTTGATCCCATCATAACAGTATTAACAGATGTGTTGCAAATTAATTAAATACGAATAGACAAAAACACCTAAACAGCTAGCATTGCCTTCAATCCAAACAAACAACTTACTATAAAGACAGTAAATGGAATCATTCTTCAACTATAATAAACTAGCTGCATTCCCGCCATGGTGTGGATATGAATATTACCTCAGATTTTACCCCAACGCTTAGACCCGTGCTTCGCTATGGTGTGGATATAACCCCAGAGTTTACCGCGCTGCACACAGGTACGGGTCACAGCATGGGGGGGGGGGGGATATTCCTTCGGCGCAATGCGCTGGTGTCGGTAGCCCTTTAGTGCGAATATGGTTATTAAATAAAATTAGTTTACAGTAAACAAAAATTGAGAGCCAATGCTCTCACGAACATCCGCCAAGACATCTCTCCTCCCCGAACAACACGTTTTCCCAGCCATCCGCGACCAGGGAGAGACTTTTAAAATCTATAGCGATGACGGACTGACACACTACCACCAGCGTTATATTATATATACCTAAATTGTGCATGAGAAAGGAGATATCATTTGGAAAACATAAAAGAGAGGAATCATATTTTAAATTAATTGTATTAACAATAGAATATTCTGATCAATGGGGTTGCCAAAATTTAGGCCTTGGTGTTAATAATAACATACTGTCCCATTTTTTTATTGCAAATTTATGTCACATATAATTGATATGAACTTAATCTTTAAATGTTATTGAAAATATCTTTATGTATAATTATTGTATATGACTTGTACAAACTTTATTATTATCATGGAGATGCTCAAATAAATAACATAAAATACATAATTATTGATCAGGGATAACATAAACACACATGTTTTAATATACTACATAAGCTTAGTCAACTTTATTGTAAAAGCTATGGGTCAAACTTGACTCAGACAAAAATTTAATTTTTAAAAGAATATTAGGGGTCTAGGCCTAATGAGTATTAATTAAATTATAGGCCTATTAATATAGGGCCAAAATTATTAATTATATAGGCCCATAGGCTACAATTTTATATTCCAATATGATTATCTAACTTTTTAAGGTGGGGTAAGTAAAATGCGAGACTTGACACTTTGAACAGCAAATATGACTAGATCTAATTATTTTTAACAGTCAGTTAAAATAAAAACTGAACAGCAGTGTGTAATGTGTAAGAATGTCAGAGAGTAGATAAGAAGAGATATTCTTGTAAAAAATAAAGTCAGTGACGACAAGTAGAATCTAGATCTAGAAAATACATATCTAGATTTAGCCTCTAGAATATAGCAAGATCTAGATCTAATCTAGTCACTGTCAATTAGAATTCAAAACAACCCCCCTCTCAACAAGTGAACATTCAACATTGAAATGAATCGGAAGCCGAAAGTTTCATAATCCTGACTTCGATTCAGCTTGACTTTGGAGAATTCATAATAATTTTATTAATTAATATTGCACAGAATACAATATTATTAAAACAGTAAATATAATGGATTTATTCATCTAATTTTAATTACTATTATATGAGGGAAAAAACTGTTTGTTTACATCGCATTCATGGGGGTGTTGTCATTTTTACTTACCAAGTCTATCGACCATCTTGATAGAATGACTCACAAACAAGTTGCCAGTTTTCCTTGCGACGTACAGCTAGAACTATGTAGTCAGGAATATAAAGTGTTTCGAGAATGCCTATAAATCAAGACTCAAGTATTATTCTAATCACTGCATTGTAAATTGTAGGCCCAAACCTGTATTAATAAAACATAATTATCAACAAAAGCTAATTTCGTTCAAAGTCAGATAAGACAATTTTTCAACATTAAGGAACGTTTAGTTTTCATATTTTGATAACATAAAGAATAGTTTTTGAAGGTTTCGTGTCATTTTAAATATTCCATTTACTTTAATTACCTAAAAAACATTTAAATTACGGTATATAAATTTAATAAACAAACAACATGTAAACAAAGTATGTTAATATACAGAAATTTAGTAAAGTCCCTACAATATTGTTGGTTCGAATACGTTTACTCTTCAGATGCAATAAAAATCAGAAAGAGGGACAACTGCGTCTAAAACAATGAAGCTAAAATAGCTAAGTTGTCTTTCTTTTACTTCTATTTTGTGTGGAATAATTTTAGATTTAGCACTAGAATAGTTTATTCTTCGGCTCAATGAAGCTCAAGGTATAATTTATTCATTCACGATTTTAATTATCAGCTTTCGTCGGCGTATGCGCTCTAGAAATAATTATCACAGCGTCGAGATATTATTAATTATATCAGTGGCGTAGCCAGGATCGTCTCAAGGGGGGGGGGGGGGGTTCCAATTTTTACCCGGGGACAAACTTTCGATTTGCACCCCCTCAAACTTTCGATTTGCACCCCCCTCAAACTTTCGATTTGCACCCCCCTCATACTTTTTATATATACCGAGGGGTCTATGGGGGGGGGGGGGTGTTATGCCCCCCTAACCCCCCTGCCTACGCCACTGAATTATATCATTAAATATGAGCTTGTTTGAAGTGTTTAACATTGCTCCATACTTTACATAATATGTTACATTGCTAACCCATGAGTTTCTGTCTGGGGCTCCCTCTCCTCCCTCCCCAAAGAACGTCTACTAACCCCCCCCCCCCCGAACGTAATAGAATGTATATATAACGTATAACCTTTTACCAGTGTGTGTCCCCCCCCCCCTTAGATAATTTAACCCCCCCCCCGCCCCAAAAAAAAAGTAAAAATAAATAAATAATAGTTTCAAGTGCCCCCCACGGAGAAAAAGTCTGAAAGAAACCCTGCCCCCCTCCCTATACATACAATTCATTATGTATCTCACTGTCTATCATACACGACTCTCCCAATAATCTAACCCAACCTCCACTCCCACACGTATACAATAAAAGTGGCGTAGGCAGGTGTAAGATCCAAATTATATCCATACACACGCACACAAACACACACACACACGCATATATATATATATATATATATATATATATATATATATATATATATATATATATATATATATATGTATATAATTCTTTTAACTAACCGATTTACAGTCAAGACAGAAGTAAGGCAGGGATGCATCTTTTTACAAAATGTATTTTTAAGGGTAATCGATAAGATTACGAAGAAGACAAACAATAACAACATTTGAATCCTTCAAAACAAGCCACCAGTGCAGTTAGTTCTTGATTTTTATCGAAGATGATGTCTACCTCCCATAACATAAACAACATCTTCAGATCTAAATTAAATATATATGTAGAGGTCTCTAAAGAATGGCTTAAAACAGAAGTGCAACAGGGGTTTTCCATAGCAGGACCTGCCCATCCAGCAAAATGGAGAAGATATTACGAGAACCAACAAGATATTTTGGAAGCGTTGATCAACAAAGACAGGGGAACAGACGATGCATCATCGAGGCCAGATTAGCCTTTAACTCTCAACGCCCTGATCATACAGAGCAATATTAGGATCTACAAGACTGAAGTAAATGCAGTACTTCTCAGAGAACTGGAAGGTTCCAAAATCATATCAAGAAATGACAAACTTTTACAAACAAAAGCGTACGACGCATCTACAAAATAAGTTTCTTCCAGACATATCTTCGGGTAGCTACGCCCCTCCCCCTCCCCCCGAAGTAAGTCTACCGCCCCCCCCCCCCCTGAACGAAATGAAATGTATATAGAAAATATATATACTTTTAACAGTGTCCACCACCCCCCCCCACATGAAAATTTAGTCCGCCCCTCCCCCTCCCCCTCCCCAAAATTTTCAAGCCCCCCCCCCCCCCCAGGAGAAAAAAGTCTGGAAGAAACACTGCAAGGCAACATCTCATACACAAAGACTGTTAGTTTTGTCAATAAAAATAAACGCTAAAAAACCCCCCACAAATATTAATGACGCAATATTGCAACAAAATTAGTTTTCTAAATCAAACTTGTTGCCGCGCAGTGAAGAGCGCGCTTCCGGTATTCAGTTATGGATGTTTCAAATGTGTGAGACGTGGTTACATCAACACCATCAAACAGCAAAGTCCCACAGTAAACCATCAACGCTTGGGCCCCCAACCGCTCCACACCCCCAGCATGCACGGCACGTGCCGATGACGTAGTCATATTATCTTTCTGGTTCTACCAGATATTTAAAAACTATCTTAGGTAAAAAGCTGACAGTTTTGTAGTGTCCTAACCTAATCTTTAATAAACTTGTCATATTTACTAGTCTTAGATTCATTGTTTTTGGAGTGTAAGTGTATAGAAGACAAGAAGTACGTACATTTAGCGTGCATGTTGATGTTGTTCGTTGGTTTGCGAAAGATTTGTCCAATCCCATTTTTTTAATGCCAGTAGGATTTAAAAAGCGAAAAGAAGATACTTCATAGCTTCTTGATCTAAATTTTCCGTGGATCTCCTCACTAGCTCTATGTTAAGCTTGATTACATCCGAATTGAGGCAGGTACTCAGCAAAGGCTGTGTGAACTCGACGCGTCATACACGTTAGCGTCCGTTACCAATGCCGCTAGAAAAAAGCCATCCCATAATATTTATAATATAATATACCTGTTAAGTATACTATTCTTTTGTACTTGCCAGTTAATCTTACAATCTGTTATATCCGATGCACCAAAAGACTAACGATACTGTAATAAAAAATATGTCTATCAGCGATAGTATCGTCAGCTCTAAGGGTAGAATAAAGAGTAGTCAAATGTTATGTGACCGAATCAGAGGCGTAGCGAGGGGGGGGGGGGGCGCGGGGGGGGGGGGGGGACATATGTCCCCGGGCGCCGACCTCAGGGGGGGGGGGGCGCCAAATTGAAAGTTTGAGGGGGGGGGGTGCAAATGAAAAGTTCGAGGGGGGTGCAAATCGAAAGTTTGTCCCCGGGCGCCGGGAAGGGTCGCTACGCCTCGGGACCGAATGGTAGACTTACCTACTTGTCATGTTTTCGAAAGCTAACCAACATTTTAAATTCCAGGCTTATCGTCTTCGTGAGTAGCACCAGTCAGCCATGGGCAAGAAGAAAAGTAGGTCAAGACTTTTAACATAAAAATACTTTTAAAAGTAGTAGAAAACAAACCCTTATATCACATCACTAACAACCCTCCCCCCAAATCCGTTTGTGACGTCACAAAACCAACTCTCCCTGTATGCACATCATTTAACGCCCTGCACCCCTCCCCCCCCCTGTATTACTACAGAAAGAGATTACGACGACGATGACATCCAGCGGGGAGTCACCCCCATACCTCCACTCAACAACATCCTCATCGATCTAACGACCTTGACCAACGATGAGGCGGCGGCGCTGGAGAAACTCATCAGCAAAGATGAGGACGAGATGGCGCAGCTCGACGATACGGTCGCGTGAGTTGGTCGGACACGGTCGTCAGGTGGTCGGGTATGGTCGTCAGGTGGTCGGGCACGGTCGGGAGGTGGTCGGGTACGGTCGTGAGGTGGTCGAACATGGGCGTGAGATGGTCGGGTACGGTCGTGAGGTGGTCGGGTACGGTCGTGAGTTGGCCGGACAAGGTCGCGTGAGTTGGTCGGACACGGTCGTCAGGTGGTCGGGTATGGTCGTCAGGTGGTCGGGCACGGTCGTGAGGTGGTCGGACACGGTCGTGAGGTGGTCGGGTACGGTCGGGAGGTGGTCGGGTACGGTCGTGAGTTGGCCGGACACGGTCGTGAGTTGGTCGGACACGGTCGTGAGGTGGTCGAACATGGGCGTGAGATGGTCGGGTACGGTCGTGAGGTGGTCGGGTACGGTCGTGAGTTGGCCGGACAAGGTCGCGTGAGTTGGTCGGACACGGTCGTCAGGTGGTCGGGTATGGTCGTCAGGTGGTCGGGCACGGTCGTGAGGTGGTCGGACACGGTCGTGAGGTGGTCGGGTACGGTCGGGAGGTGGTCGGGTACGGTCGTGAGTTGGCCGGACACGGTCGTGAGTTGGTCGGACACGGTCGTGAGGTGGTCGAACATGGGCGTGAGATGGTCGGGTACGGTCGTGAGGTGGTCGGGTACGGTCGTGAGTTGGCCGGACACGGTCGCGTGAGTTGGTCGGACGCGGTCGTGAGATGGTCGCACATGGGCGTGAGGTGGTAGGCACGGTCGTGAGGTGGTCGGGTACGGTCGTGAGGTGGTCGGGTACGGTCGTGAGTTGGCCGGACACGGTCGTGAGTTGGTCGGACACGGTCGTGAGGTGGTCGAACATGGGCGTGAGATGGTCGGGTACGGTCGTGAGGTGGTCGGGTACGGTCGTGAGGTGGTCGGGTACGGTCGTGAGTTGGCCGGACACGGTCGTCAGGTGGTCGGGTATGGTCGTCAGGTGGTCGGGCACGGTCGTGAGGTGGTCGAACATAGGCGTGAGATGGTCGGGTACGGTCGTGAGGTGGTCAGGTACGGTCGTCAGGTGGTCGGGTACGGTCGTCAGGTGGTCGGGTACGGTCGTCAGGTGGTCGAACATGGGCGTGAGGTGGTCGGGTACGGTCGTGAGGTGGTCGGGCACGGTCGTGAGGTGGTCGGGCTGTTTGTTGTGTTTGGTTGGGCTGTGTGTTATAGCACAGTACAGACCTGTCCGGCATGACATCAAATGACATCAGACCTTTTTCTTCCAGACCTGTCCGGCATGACATGAAATGACATCAGACCTTTTTCTTCCAGACCTGTCCGGCATGACATCAAATGACATCAGACCTTTTTCTTCCAGACCTCTCTGCCATGACATCAAATGACATCAGACCTTTTTCTTCCAGACCTGTCCGGCATGACATGAAATGACATCAGACCTTTTTCTTCCAGACCTGTCCGGCATGACATGAAATGACATCAGACCTTTTTCTTCCAGACCTGTCCGGCATGACATCAAATGACATCAGACCTTTTTCTTCCAGACCTGTCCGGCATGACATCGAGATGATCAAGCTGTGGACCAGGAATGACAAGAACGAGAAACCGGACATCTCGTACATGTGCATCCGGTGCCGGAGGCCGATCAGGTTCTGGAAGTACTGGATTCCGCTGCCGGACTGGGGGACGCGGTGCATGGTCTGCAAGCACCGCGTCTGTTGGAGGTGTCGCTACAAGCAGAAAAACGGCAAATACATGTGTGTCCTCTGCCTTAAATGCAGGTTTGTTGGCCAGATTTTTCCACATATAGCAACTAGGTTTATTTCTTAAAAATAGTTATCAAGATTATGATCTTCTAATTTTTAGAATTTTAAAACAGTTCTATGTAAAAATGACTTACCAAGTTACTAAAAAAGTTATAGCTCCATGGTTTCTATCTCCTACCTTCTAATAAAAAACAAAACAAAAAAAAATAATAATCAAAATAAAAATAAAATTGTTAAGTTAAATTGAAACATATTAAAAGTTTGTTTACAGTTGATGTTCAGATTTTTTTCACCCGCTACCAAAAACAACTTCAACCGTTTTTATACAACCTCCAGCGAAGTACACATAATTAGCGAAGTACTCTCCCCTCCCTTTCACAAAAGTCACATCCGTCACCAAATCAGCCAATTTGGCAATGTATTTTATGAGTGTGTGTGTATGTTTCTGTATTTACAGAGAAGAGAAACATCTAACAGGGGAGTGGCATAACGCAGGTTGTGGTCTTCACGGCACAGACTTGGTGAAAATTTCTCTTCAATCCAACGGTCAGTTGCTGACCTGTAGCCTTGACCTCTTCTACCCATAGACCTATTCTGACCGTTCTTGATTTTTTTTTACCTAAAGACGATTTCGGACATTCAACCTTGACATTCTCTACCCAATGACAAGCTTCGTCCTTGACCTCTTTTACTAAAATAAAAATACGATTCCTGACCTTCAGCCAACTACTACCTGAAGACAAGTTTCTGAGACTCTGCCTTGACCTCTTGTTCACATTGACGACCTGCTTCTTTGTGTAAAATTGAATGGATGCTAAAAAGTGTTTTAGTGTATAAATGCGTTTAAGATTACATGAGAAAAATTTATCCCAACAGATTAATCTAGATAAATATTACAATCCACAATTTTTTTTATTTATTCGTTTTAAGTTTTAGATTTACATTTAATTCTGTATCAGCTAGATCGGACTTCCGCTTTCGTTTTCAGGGCCCGGTACGGTGAGGTCAAAAGGTATCAAATCGTTTTTCGGTATGTTGCCCTCCAGTGGTTCGGCATCTAAAAAGAAGAGCAGCACTAGCGTCAAACCTAAGGTTAGAAGCAAGAAAGGGAAGAAAAAGGGGAAGAAAAAAGGAAAGAAAAAGGGCAAAAAGAAGGGGAAAGGTAAAAAAGATAAAAAGAAAAAGGGCGGCAAGGACAAGAAGAAAGGCAAGAAGAAAGGTGGGAAGAAAGATAAAAAGGGCAAGAAAAAGAAGGATAAAAATAAATCGAAGAATGCGGCTGAGAAAATGGCGGATAAAAATGTATCGCGTAAAAACTCAAAGGAAACCGAAGAGGAAGGGAAGGAAAAGGTAGACATAGAAGAGAAAAAAGACGTTGAGTTACTGCGCGAAAGTAGTCCCTCACTTAACAGCCAATCGGAAGCGAATGTTTTCACGGATAAAATTATATCCGCGGCCGTGCTCGAGAGATACCAGAGAATCTACGGTCCCATAGAGACCTCTGGGGACTACTTCCGGTTGTCGGGCATGAGCAGGCATCGGATGTTGAGATACACTCACAAACGCATCGCTAAATACCCGGAGAGGCCAACCCGTCTTAGAGACTCGGGGAATCAATACGAGGGTTGTCAAATCTCACCAGACGTGGGAAACCCCAACTCTAAAAGGATGCGAATCAAAGATGCCACCTCGCAGGCAGATAGTTTAAAGAAAACTGGTGGACTACAAGAGACGTTTGGGAAGACATCACACAACCTCGAGGCACCGGAAGCTCGGAGGAAATCCCAACATGCTCCGCGATCACCGTCTTTAATGCGCATGTCACAAACTGACCAGCCTCGTGCTCAGCATTTAAACAAGTGCTCCAACAAGAAATCCTCGTCTCCTGATACCATACGAGACAGGTCCTGTAGTAAAACTCGGGCTCAAGACAAACGTCCACTGGACAAGCACTGGGTCAGTAAACATCCTGCATCAGAAGGTTCCTCGTCCGGGAGGCAACATAGTCACGAGCGACGGCACTCAGAAGACAGGATACGAGAAGAGAACTTGCCAAGGAGGCGCTACAGCAGTTTACAAGAACGGAAACGGCCGAGTAATCCCGATGATAATAACTTAACCAACCAGTACGCAGCGAAGTCGCTTGAACGTCGGGCACAGCGGGAGGATCTAGGTAAACAAAGACTGGCGGAATATTTTCTCCGCCACTCAAATCAATCGTTCGAGCCAGCCAGAGAGCCGTTGAAGTCATTAGCCAATGAAAACTTCCAACGCAAACGGGACGCGACGTTCATCAAACGGCCGCAAGCTGAAAGCTACTCCACTTCAGAAACTGAAGGAACGAGGACGAAGAGAGAGCAGCATCGGGCACGTGACCACCGCTCCCTAAGCGAGAACCAACGCAAGCCAAAAATAGATTTTCAGCACGTCTCCCAGAGAAGCCCAGCGGGCAGAGCCGACCAGCCTGACCCGACCATACACCGCACTGAAGAGGGGATCCTTTCGAGAAAACGCGGACCCGATATACGATACACACGCCATTCATCAGAACGGAACAATTCTCCGAAAATTCCAAAATTCTCCCTGCCCGACCGCGTCAAGGAAACCCACAACCATTCCAAGGTCAATGATTGGCGCGTGGAACCGGAGAATTCTTCTGGTGACAGTACCAGCATTCTCTCCTCGTCCCCCTCTGGCGACCACCCAACGGAGAACACGACGGACGGGAAGATCAAACACAGCAGATTGTCCCAGCTACGAGCCTTGTTGTCGCCCAAAAGAATTTTCCGGAAAAAAAGTCGCAAAAAATCGGAGAAAAACGCCGAAGAAAAAAACAACTCTGACATTTTAGCACCAAACATGGACACGTCCTCCGACTCCATCTCCCGGGATTTGTTGTGTAGGGACGCCAGGCTAGGCCGTGGGGCGGACAACTTTGGAGGCTCGTACAAGTCCAGGAACAGCTCAGGGAACCAGGTCACTAGGGATGACCTGAATTACAACTTTCAACCCAAAACCAAAGAAAAAGGTAAGCATTTTAACACTGTATCACTCTACAGTTTCATCACTTCTTGAGTCTATTGATCGCTAACACGAGACTCCGGAGTTTGTTGTACATTTAGAAAGTGTCTGACGTAGAATCCACAGTGTGGACACGAAGACGCCATGACTAATGACCTTGACCGCAGTCACTACACCTAGCGTTTTGGTAGCTGTACAATCTCATTACAATCCTAGGGTGATTAGACATAGTTTAATGACAATACTTATTGATTGAATGTAATTCATCACACATTAATGACGTATGTTTTATAAAATACTAAACCAATACTAAAGATAGTGACACTCGTTCGTTAGAAGTTCTCGCTGCCAAATTATAGGCTGCATTTGTGTTTTTACAAGTATTGGTCAATCGCTCAACTACACGTTACTTACTAATGCTGGCTTAATAAAAGCCCCTGACCAACGTAACGTAGTGTGTAGCAGCGGTGGCCTTATCATAAGGCTCTAAAGGTAGCGAATAGCAAAGATAGCAAGAAGCTAGGGCTTCGGAGATATTAAATACACAAGATAGTAGTGTATTGATAGTTAAAGATATCGACCAGCAAAGACTAGGTAGCAAGTAGCAAAGTCATTACAGGTAGCCAGTTACAAAGACTCTTTATGTAGCCAGTAGCAAAGACTCTTTAGGTAGCCAGTAGCAAAGACTCTTTAGGTAGCCAGTAGCAAAGACTCTTTAGGTAGCCAGTAGCAAAGACTCTTTAGGTAGCCAGTAGCAAAGACTCTTTAGGTAGCCAGTAGCAAAGACTCTTTAGGTAGCCAGTAGAAAAGACTCTTTAGGTAGCCAGTAGCTAAGACTCTAAGTAGCCAGTAGCTAAGGCTCAACCATGTTTTCATGTCGTGTTTACAGAGGGTGCCGCCGAAAGTGACGACAAGGGCAAAGGTCACCGCAAGAAGAAACACAAGCACAAGGCCGACAGCCGCAAAAGCCAGCAGATGAAGGGCCGAAAGTCCGTCATGCTCGACACAACATCCGACATGGAGGGCATCCAATCCGCACTCGTACGCTTCATGTTTATAGATCCACGATGTATATTTTAGTACATAGCCAATCCCTTCTAAAATTACTTAGTAACCGTGCACCAGCGTCACGGGGCGGGGGCGGTGGGTGACAGCCGCACCGGGTGACACCAGCCAAGGGGTGACATAACAACGAAATGTAACACATTTTAATGAGAAAGTCTACTCATTAAAGGTTCTTTTAGGCAAAGGGTGACACACTTAGAGATAGGGGTGACACCTAGTTGCTTAGAGTAGAGTATATCTTATGGCCTTTGATATAGTTGTTGGTGGGGGTGGGGGTGACACCAAGTTGCTTATATAAAAATATCTCTGACTGTCTGTCTCTCTGTCTGTCTCTCCCTCTGTCTGTCTCTCCCTCTCTCTCTCTCTCTTTATATATATATATATATATATATATATATATATATATATATATATATATATATATATATATATATATAATGATAAGTCGCGGTTTACGGGAAATATACGATGTACTAAGCAACCATACAGTTTACTTTGAAAATGTTATATCAGTGTATTATTGCATTATAATATGTGCACACCCTCTAAGAGTTTGTAGAGATAAATGAATGAAATGATTACCGTGGCCGAATGCTGTCCCCTACATGTGTACTAACTGCCTTATCCCCCTTATATTCAGGATGCGGTCAAGAAACGAACCACCGAACTCTCCCAGCCTGGGGAACTGCAAGTCAAGGCATCGGGCATTAACCAGCAGGCATCTACCACAGGTAACCCACTTCTGTACGGGTCGCACGGGTACTCTGTGGGTAACGCGGGTCCCTGAGTGGGTGGCATAGGTACTTTGTATTACTGGTACCTCATGGGCAACGGGTGTAGGCTGTTAAAACAGGCATAGATACTTTGTATTACTGGTACCTCATGGGCAACGGGTGTAGGCTTTTAATACAGGCATAGATACTTTGTATTACGGGTACCTCATGGGCAACGGGTGTAGGCTTTTAATACAGGCATAGATACTTTGTATTACGGGTACCTCATGGGCAACGGGTGTAGGCTATTAATACAGTTGCTTACAGTTACTACGCGTTTCTTATGAGTACACGGATTACCTTTAAGGTACCCGGTACCTTATGGGTACCCCGAGTACTAAAATACCCCCCGGTTTGCCTAATACTGGTACATAGTGGATACTAACGGTATCGAGTACTTTTAGTACCTTTATGAGTACCTATGGTACCTCATGGGTACTTAAGGCACCTTCTTACATGAGTACCAAGGGTGCCTTGTGGGTTTTTAAGTGTACACAAATGGGTAATGCAATTATCATAATGAAATCTTTGAACACCGCAGCGAAAATCTGCAAATCGCCACACGATAATTCGATGCTGTGCTGTGTTGGCTAGTTCAATGCTAAATTCCTTGTCTAGTAGATAGAGCCTCTAAGTGTGCGTGTGTTGTTTTTTTTGGGAGGGGGGGAGGTAAAAGAACATAAACATATTCTAATGAACTTAAAGCGATACTCACTTAGTTTCGTGGATTTTGTTTTGTCATGTCTGATTCATGCTATGAGTTTGTTTCAACATGACATGTTGTTGTTTTGTCAGTGTTAGTTACTCTTGTCATGTTCGATCCTTCTGAGAGTGTATTCTGTTGGTATTATTCTCACTTTTCACTCTAAGTCTAATGGTAGGTGTTCTAAGAGTATTTTATCTGTGCACGAGAACACTACCAACGATTGCATTTATGTATTTATAATTCTTTTATCTCGAATCGAGTCCTTTGTGCTTCCTCCATAATTTTATTTTCATTTTCTTATATTTTATAGCTTAAACATAGACACAAACGTAACAAAAAAAATTAATAATAGGCCTATAGAGAATAGATAAAACTGCAATAAAAAAAAGCAAAAGGTTGCATCAATTCTTATTGAATTATGCAGTGAGGCGCTCTTTACTTTTTGTACGTCTTTATAGAAAAACCAAATTACTGGTTTTCATCATTATACAGTGGTCTTCTTAACCCTTCTAAATTTCGATGCGTTTATTTCTTGTAACTTTTTTTTACAATAGTTTTCACTTAATTTTTTTTCTTCTGGAAAAATCGACGTGAATTATAATATTTGTAAACACCGGATATTTAGATTTTAAAGTGTTCAATGCTTTTTATTTGGTTATATGCCACGTTTTTTTTTAATTTAAAAAAAAAGGACCTTTCATCGTATAATGTAGGCTGATCCGATTCTAGACTGCGAAATTCTAGACTGCATAAAAAACAACTTAATAACGCCTTCTAGTTTTCTACACGAACTGAACGCCAGCCTGGCCACACTAAACCAAATAATGTGTTCAGGTTTAGCAGTTGAAATCTTTTAGCGCAAGCGAAAAAACTTATGAGGAACATAATAAGTTTTTTCTTCCCATAGGCCTACCAGCACCAGCACCAGTACCAGTAGCAGTAGCACCAGACCCCGAACTGGTTACGCTTGAGCCGGTGGTGGTAGATGGGGTGGAGAAGTTAATGGTTGTTAAAAAAACCGAGAGTAAGGCGTCACAAACGGAGGGAAAGAGGAAAAAATTAAGAGCAATGCTTTGTCCATGGTGCAAGATGACAGTCGAGTATGGGATGAAACTCTAGGACAATCGCAAAGGAAGAATTTTCCGGATCAGTCTACGATTACAGGATGAGGGTCCACTTCACTTCGATTATATATATATATATATATATATATATATATATATATATATATATATATATATATATATATAGTTTCATTTTTAACTGTATATTTTAATTACCGCTACTCCTAGTCTCAGTTGACATTATTTTTTTCAAATCCCCGTAATTTTTTGACGAGAGTAAATACTAGTCTAACTTGACTACACACGTTTACTAACGCCAAAGACAGATCATGGCCATCTTGAATCCAGAAACTGTGTTAGGTTGTTTGTTTTGATATACGTTTGTAGTGTTAGGGTTGATTAGACGTGTGTAGCGAGTTAGTTCTTACTAAACGTGTATAAACGGGTGTGCTAGGTTTGAATAGATGTGTGTAGCGTGTGAATTCTGTATAGACGTGTGTTGACGGGTGCGCTAGGTTTCACAAACGGCTGCGGAGATAAAAAGCAAGATGTAAAACTCTGTCGAAGATCAGACTCCCATAGAAAGACTGGCCTACGTACTGCAGACTTGTCAGCATCGCTGGACTGTCTGCAAGCACACCTCAGGGACGATATTACATCCATCACAATCACCTACCACTACGATTATAATATTTGTCCATATCATAACATAGGTATCGTTCATCTCTTTACTGGTTATATCCGACGATTTGTTTTGCTCGTACATAACAAGCTCGATTCTTGTTTGAATGTGTCCTATACACTCTTCCACCCTCCCCCCCCCCCCAACATCCCAAGCATATCTACGCTTTCTTTAATAAATCTTTCAGAAGTCAAACAGTCATCAAGACAATTTATTTCATTTGTTTTTACAATTTAAATTGACAAAAAAATGTGCTTGAGAATTTTTAAAATCAAATTTTGTTTTGTGTAAAATATTGTTGCCTGTGTCATTCTTCCATCTTTTTATATGCACCAACCCATGTTCAAATTGTCGAGATAGCTGTAACATGATTGGGAAAAATAAAATAAAATATATGTATTATAGATCTAGAAGTATATCAAACTTTGACTTTATTTATTTGCAAGTTTGTTAAAAGAAAGTATGATTAGGTCATTTGGCAGTGGCGTAGACATGACCGGAGAGGGGGGGGTGTCGCTTTATGTCTACAGTCTTAGAATATTGAATGGCATACAAACGGCAAGTGTAACGAAATAGAAAATTTATATTTTAACTTTAACGAGTGTACGCCTCCACACGTCACCACATATCCAAACGCCACCCAACAACTGAACCGCAACATCGCACACCCTACAAACAAAACCCTACACCTACAATATACACACTACAACAAACGCCCAAGACCCACATTCCTGCACGTCATGATCAGAGTTTCTTCCAGGCATGTCTTCGGGGAGGGGGGCTCCGTCCCCGAAGGAAGTCTACCGCATCCCCCCCCCGAACGAAATGTAATATATATATAGAAGAAAATATACTTTTAACAGTGACCCCCCCCCCCACGAAAATTTCAAGTGCCCCCCCCCCCCACTCCCCGGAGAAAAAAGTCTGGAAGAAACACTGGTCATGATACACAACCCACACCTCGAGTATTTGATATTGTAAACATTGAAAGCGACATGACCGTGCCGCCACCAACAGCTGTAATATATTGTGAGGTAGGTTTAGTGGGGGGGGGGGGGGGTCCATGTGGTTTAGGGTCTCAGCTTCTAATCAGTGTTTCTTCCAGACTTTTTTCTCCGGGGGGTGGGGGCACTTGAAATTTTCGGGGGGGGGGGGGGGGCGGACACTGTCAAATGTAGGCCTATATATTTTCTATATAAATTATAAAAAATTCATTTCATTCGGGGGGGGGGGGGGGGGAGGGGGGGGGGGGCGGTAGACTTTTGCTGAGCCCCCGAAGAGATGCCTGGAATAAACTCTGCTTCTAATACCCCCCCCCCCGCCTACGCCAATGTTTTGACCTACTTTACTGTGTGGTTTTTTTTTCATGAATAGATCTTTTTATGGTGTGTTTTTTTTAAAAATGGTTTCAAAGTGTGGATTTTTTTACACTTTTCGAGGCAGGAAATAATTATCCAGCCTACTTCTCAGCAGCATGGTTATACTGTGGGATAAATAGTTCTAACTGATTTTTAAAAGAAAAGTTATGCAGTTTAAAAAAAAAGATACGTTGAAAGAATGGACATATTTTTTTTTAAATAAAAAAAAAATGGTTTAAACTAAAAATTATTTTTAGACTAATTTTGCTTTCTTTTTATTAGTCGAATTCATTTTGAAAATATTCAAATATTATCGTCGTTCGAGAATTACATTTTTTTCACATATCCAGACGTTTCCATTGCGGACGTTTGAGGGGTCGTCCATAAATGACGTCACACTCGTAAGGGGGGGGGGGGGGGCGTCCGTAATTTTGTGACGGTGTGTGGAGAGGGGGAGGGGGGTTCAGATGGTTCGACGTCACACTTTTGCATTATAAAAAAGCAATGTTAGTAAACGAATTTTAGACGTTATTTCGCGTTTTAGAAAACTGTTTTAATAAATTGTAATAGGAATTGATTAATATACTATATGTTGACATAGTTCAGACATGATTTTGGAAAAATATCGATGTTTTAAAAAAATTCAACAACAATTTTGAGAGGGGGGGGGGTTGTAGGCTTAGTTGTGAGGTGTGGGGGGGGGGGGGAGGTAAAATTGTCCAAAAAAGCGTGACGTCATTTATGGATGACCCCTTAGATTTTCAAAGGCTTGACACGCCGAAAAAGAAAAAAAAAGAAAATTTCGAAACTTCTTTAGAGAGGACACATTTTTTTTTCTTCTCTCAAATTTTTAGACACGTCGTATGAAAGACGAAAACATTCCAAGAAGCATACGAAAGTCCGCCCGTCGATGTCCATTTCAAGGGGAGCAAATCGCCCTTCAATGACCACGACAAGGCCATTAGTCCGCCCTTCATCGTCCATGACTAGGCCACCAGCTCGCCCTTCAATGACCACGACAAGGCCATTAGTCCGCCCTTCATCGTCCATGACTAGGCCATCAGCGCGCCATTCAATGACCATGACAAGGCCATTAGTCCGCCCTTCATCGTCCATGACTAGGCCATCAGCGCGCCCTTCAATGTCTCTTTCAATGGGAGCCCAGTCTCAGATATTCAATGGAAGAGATTATCCTGACAATGATTTTAACTCAGAGAAAGTAAGTTTTTGACAGTTGGGGTGGACGGGTGGATGAATGCTTTCTCTAATGGGAGGGGGAGCAGTGGCGTAGCGAGGGGGGGTGCGGACCGCACCGGGTGACACCAGTTAGGGGGGGTGACAGCAAATCGAAAGTTTAAGGGGGGATGCAAATCGAAAGTTTGAGGGGGGGGGGTCGAAAATTGAAAGTTTCTCTACGCCTCTGGGGGGTGACATCATTAAGCGCCGTACAGGGTGACACCCGACCTCGCTACGCCACTGGTGGGGAGCTAGTATTATAGTCGTGTGTTAGCTTTTCTGACAGTGAGTTTTGTTGTTTTTATATCGATGGAAAAGGGGGGGGGGGGGTCTGCTTTAGCTGACTGCATGAATTCTTGTGTCCAGCATTTGTTATGTGTGTCCAGACTTTTTTCTGCCTTTCTGCCTACACTGCTAAAAAATCTGGAAAGTTTTGTGTGGGAAGTGCGTCAAGAAAACATGAAAAAAAAAAATTATTTTTTTTTATTTATAAAATAGTTTTTATTTTTTAATTTTAAACAACAGGATTGAATAGGATTTTTTGTTTCATTTAAAGGTCAGATTTTAAAATGATACATTGTGAAAATTTGAATACGATCTTTTATTTTAAAAGTTTGTGGAAAAGGAAGCACCGCCACGGAGACATGAGGAGCCATTGTCGAGGTTTATTTCAGACAAGGCGTCTTTAGCTTGTAAGTATATCTTTGGTATCTGCAATTATGGCACAGGGATCTTTTGTGTACGTCGGGGATCATTCATGTGTGTCAGGGATAATTTATGTATGAAAAGGATCGTTTATGTGGCACAGGGATCGTAGATGTATGCCACATGGCATGCAGAGGCGTAGCAATGGGTGGGGGGGGGGGGGCAGGGGGGACATATGTCCCCGGGCGCCGACCTTAGGGGGCGCCAAAATGGGTTGGAAAAAGTAATCGAAAGTTTGAGGGGGGTGCAAATCGAAAGTTTGAGTGGGGGGGGGGGGGGTGCAAATCAAAAGTTTGAGGGGGGGGGGGGTTGCAAATCGAAAGTTGCGCCGGGAAAGGTCGATAGGGACCATTTATGTATGACGGGCATTATTCATGTACGACAGGGATCATTCACGTATTATGGGGATCGTTCATGTATGAATATTTAAAATTGTTATGGTGAAATACGATTAAATATAGCAATTAAATTGTAACGGCATTTCACCATACTAAATTTTGTATCCCCCCTGCGGAGCCTTAAATTCTTAAAACAAAAAAAAAAATTGAGCTAACCCAGTTGTATGTGTCTGACCAGCGATCGTTGGCGCCGCCCAGTCTCAAGTCACCATAGCTGCAGCCCCGTCGGCGCCTTCACTCCCGCCACCACCCCCACCTCCACCACCCTCTGTCGCTCCCGCCCCCGCCCCTCCACCGCCACCCCCAAAGAAGAAAGGCAAGAAAGGCGAGCCGGAGATCATCGAGAAGCCCCCAGTGGAGACTGCCAGCAAGGAGTCGCAGACCGAGAACAAGAAAAGCAAGCTCCGCTCCATGTTCTGTCCTTTCTGCCGCCTGGCCGTGGAGTACGGCTTTGAGTACTGAGACGTCTCACGGATCAGGCAAACGGAGAACTTCAAACCACGCACTCGGGGAAAAAAGAGCCAAAAAAAAATGGAAGAAAAGCTGTAATTATTTTAAGTAGGCCTTTTACTTTAGGTGAAGAATATATTTAGTATACCAAAAAATTTGGCTCTAAGATAGGATTGGGATCTTAACTATTATTTGGTATTCTCCTAAATGGGCTGTCAGCAGTAGGATAAATTGCATTGTATATATATATATATATATATATATATATATATATATATATATATATATATATATATATATATATATATATATATATATATAATATGTATAGCCATAAAAAACAACATATGCTGCCTCTCTTTCCTTGCTTGAGAATTCACCAGACCCCCCTCCCCCTTGGTTCATCAGACCCCCCCCCCCCCCCCCCCCCTCCAATTTTCCTATAAAGGTACAAGATTTACTTCACTTGTATGTATACAATATTCTTCAACTATATGAGTGGCCTATAGTTTGTCTAAGCTTGGCCTTAAAGACCACAACCTGATGTAATTGTATTAATTAACATCAGTTTCAATGTAACATCAACCTCAATGCCACGTAACATCAACCTCAAATGGCGCCTAAGATTAGCCACAAATGTCATGTAGGAAACACCCAATGTAATGTCATATGACATGAGGGACAATGAGAACTAGGTAACATCTACCACGAATAAAGTTGTAACCACAAATGTCATTATGTTTACATCAAATACTAATGCCATTACAATAACATCAGTCATGAATAATGTTGTAGACACTAATGTCATTACAGTAACATCAACAACAAAAATTTTACAGAAACAATAAAAGTTACTGCTGTAACTAAATGTACCTGGAACAACTGTTGGTAACTTAGATAAAATGTAATAAAAGAATGTTAACATCTTTTTAAACTCTTGTGTCATGTTTATGAGGTTGTTGCTGTATTAGAGTAGCCAGGTTTTAGAGCATCTTATCATCAAATGTAGTTTAAGAAAACTGTTTAATGTGGACATTCTGAGAAACCTACGTAGGAAAGCTACCAAATAAATTTTTTATTTTTTAACCCGCAAGTATAGGAAATATTAAAAAAGCATAATCCTATTATGAAATATCTGCCATTGTAAACATAGTCCTAGGATGTTGATAACTAGATGTGTACTATATGGTAGCGCACTACAGACTGGCTGGTGTTAGGGCGTAAGTTTTGACTAGAGTCAAGGTTAGTGTTTGGCTTTAGTTAGGTTTTAGATAGCCCCACTCCCACATGCAATGGTCACAGCCTCTTCTGTGCCAGGCAGAACCAGATATTACCATCAAATTTATTTAAAATAAAATATTTATTTAATCAGAATATATTTGACAACAAAGCATTTTAAAAATATTAACAATTTATTACAAATTTTAAATCAAGTTTGAAAATCTTCGTCATCACTGACAAGAATGGACTGGTGTGGAGAGGAAGAAGCACTGGATTCTATTTTTGTTACTTTCTCATCATAGTCCGAGTCAGAGTCATCACTGACCAAAATTTTATAAAATGGTAGGGAGATTTTACGTGAAAGGACAGAAAGATTTTACCTGCAAAACTATGTAGATTTAATGCAATGGTAGGGTGATTTTAACCTGCAAGGATAGGAAGATTTTATAAAATGGTAGGGAGATTTTACATGCAAGGCTAGGGAGATTTTACTTGAAAGGACAGAAAGATTTATGTAGGGTGGCATTCATGGTCTGTCTCTTCATTGGCCGCAGCTCTTTAATTTTGAACACATTTTTCATAATTTCATCCATCTCTTTGGTCCATGGGAAATCTAAACCAAAGATAAACAAATTAATCCCAACATGTTCATTCAAACAAAAGTCTTTTAAATGTATATCAATCATGTTTAAAACATGGACAGTTTTAAGTATACATTAATTTCTGTAAAGAAATCAACGTAAAGTGAGTTGTTTATCCTAGCATAAAAAGAATACTTGATTAAGATTTATGTACAAGATATTTCATAGACTTGAGATGAAGGAATCTTAAACTATGCTCTGCCAATATGTGACCTATTATGGAGTTACACATTAATGATTAAGCTGTTCAAACGAAATGTAATTTCTAGCAAAGATAATTACCTCCATGGAAAACTAAGTGTTAAATAAAGTATATTCCTAACACAATTTGGAGAATTCAATATATCACAAATTCAAAACTGAATTAAACAGAAATGTGCATTATTTACACCAAGAGAGTAATAAATTCTGGAAAAACTCAGTGCATGACATGCAGTAGAAAAAGCCTCTCATCGGGGATTTAAGACTTTGAATTATGATAGTTAACTACCAATCTATTAGAAAGATATAAGCAGCTATCCGAAAGATTTCAAAACCCACCTGATACTGACAATGATCTACTCCTCCCCCCCCCCCCCATCACACACCTTCACTATCCCATTTGATGTCCAGCTTTTTCTGATGAGCTTCTTCCTCATGTTGGGAAAGAATTGTTTTTAATTCTGTTCGTTTGTTCAGTAGCTGACCTTGTCTCTCTAATAATTCTTGAAGCTCAACTTCCACCAGCTCCAATTCCTCCTCAACCTTGGTGAGTTCTTTCTGATATTCTGAAAAACAATTTTAAAAAACCCTCAAAATATATGTTACTATATAGATCTAATAGGCCATATGTATTATGTAATATGTAGGATGTAAGCCTATCAGTTCACAATACTCTAAAAATTTTGAAAAAAATTATGCTTGCACTAGGCAAATGGCTGACACAATTGTCACATTGTGCAATATACTTTTTGCCCAATCTATTTAAATGCAAAACTCACTCAACTAGACTAGATCTAGATCTAGTCAGTCAGTCAGACAATTTGTCACAATTATTTTTAAAAAAATGCAAACTCAAATATTAAATAAATTGTAATCTATCGTTTTGGGTACGTAAAAAGCGCTGCGGCTATTAATGTACGAAAACGTTACCTCATTGTCAAGGCTTTAATAGAAGTATTTTGTGATATGTTTGTGTCAAATATTATAGATAAATGAATAATAAACCGAAATCAATGGCTAAATATATCAATATAGGCCAGAAATTAACTTTAAATAGCAAGATTTGCTATATAAACAGCAGCCATTTGTAAAATAGAGTGGCTTCTCCCTGAATCTCGCGCTATAAGTTTATAAAAATAAAACTTAAACAAGATGGCTGCTATAGTAAATGAGCACGGTTGCATCTGTTGGAAACATCGCTAGTCTTCATTTATTACTGAAAAGTTTTAATTCAACTGTTTAAAAACAGGTACATAAATGAAACAAGGAAACATTTTTGTATTTTAAAAACATAAATCCTCCTCAAAATGTGAAATAATTATTAAAATTTAAGGAGTCACCTGTTTTTCACATTACAAGTCGCGGGCGATTTTACGTACCTAAAAAGATAGATTACCAACAAATTCATCAATCTGACAACTAATTTGAAATTTCTTCACATTTTAGTTCATACCTGCCATTTGAGAAAAACAGGAACAGGAATGTGTTACAAATTTGGAAATGCACAATCCTAATAATTAGGCTTATTAAATGGGTTAGGCCTACAGAGTTGAATGTGATTTGGATTTAAATCTAAGGTTTTTAATTCTTTTGATTTAAGCATTTTAAAACAAAACACAGGATCGAAGAATATAAACATTCGGTTGCAGTCAGCCGCTAACAGTAAAAAATTAAGAAATTAATAATTTTTGCAGACTAAAATTAAAATAAAAGGCTTTGTGCAAAAAATCGGAGAAAAACGCCGAAGAAAAAAAACAACTCTGACATTTTAGCACCAAACATGAACACGTCCACCGACTCCATCTCCCGGGAATTGTTGTGTAGGGACGCCAGGATAGGCCGTGGGGCGGACAACTTTGGAGGCTCGTACAAATCCAGGAACAGCTCAGGGAACCAGGTCACTAGGGATGACCTGAATTACAACTTTCAACCCAAAACCAAAGAAAAAGGTAAGCATTTTAACACTGTATCACTCTACAGTTTCATCACTTCTTGAGTTTATTGATCACTAACACGACACTCCAGAGTTTGTTGTCCATTTAGAAAGTGTCTGGCATAGAATCCACAGTGTGGACACGAAGACGCCATGACTAATGACCTTGACCGCAGTCACTATACCTAGCGTTTTGGTAGCCTACAATCCTGGGGTGATTAGACATACTTTAATGACAATACTTATTGATTGAATGTAATTCATCACACATTAATGACGTGTGTTTGATAAAATACTGAACCAATTCGCCAGCCTAAAGACAGTCACACTCGTTCGTTAGAAGTTCTCGCTGCCAAATTATAGGCTGCATTTGTGTTTTTACTAGTATTGGTCAATCGCTCAACAATATGTTACTTACTAATGCTGGCTTAAATAAAGTCCCTGACTGTGGTGGCGTAGATGCAGGTGTAGGATAGACAGTGTACGTGACGGAGACGATCGACGAAGCACGGGTTAGAATTTGATTGTAATTACGGGCGACATCATTGTGGGGGGTAGGTGTAGCAGACACGTATCTAGTTAGAAATTTTTTTACCGCCCCCCCCCCCTAAACGAAATGAAATTTATTTAATTTATATAGAAAATATATACTTTTAACAGTGTCCGCCCCCCCCGAAGAAAGTCTACCGCCCCCCCCCCCCCCCCGAAAATTTCATGTGCCCCCCCCCCACCGGAGAAAAAAGTCTGGAAGAAACACTATTCTCTAAAGGTAGCGAATAGCAAAGATAGCAAGAAGCTAGGGCTTCGGAGATATTAAATACACAAGATAGTAGTGTATTGATAGTTAAAGCTATCGACCAGCAAAGACTAGGTAGCAAGTAGCAAAGTCATTAGAGATAGCCAGTTACAAAGACTCTTTTGGTAGCCAGTAGCAAAGACTCTTTAGGTAGCCAGTAGCAAAGGCTCAACCATGTTTTCATGTCGTGTTTACAGAGGGTGCCGCCGAAGGTGACGACAAGGGCAAAGGTCACCGCAAGAAGAAACCCAAACACATGGCCAACAGCCGCAAAAGCCAGCAGATGAAGGGCCGAAAGTTCGTCATGCTCGACACAACATCTGACATGGAGGGCTTAGAATCCGCACTCGTAGGCTTCATTTTTTCTAGCTGGAGTTGGTTGGGTGAACATGGTGGTCAGGGTTTTAGCACCACGATGTATATTTTAGTACATAGCCAATCCCTTCTAACCGGGTGACACCAGCCAAGGGGTGACATCACAACGAAATGTAACAAATTTTAATGAGAAATTCTACTCATTAAAGTTTTTTTTTAGGCATAGGGTGACACACTTAGAGATGGGGGTGACACCGAGTTGCTTAGAGTAGAGTATATCTTATGGCCTTTCATATAGTTGTTGGTGGGGGTGGGGGTGACACCAAGTTACTTATATAAAAATATCTCTGTCTGTCTGTCTGTCTGTCTGTCTATATATATATATATATATATATATATATATATATATATATATATATATATATATATATATATATATATGTAATGATAAGTCTCGGTTTACGGGAAATATACGATGTACTACGCAGCCATACAGTTTACTTCGAAAATGTTATATCAGTGTATTATTGCATTATAATATGTGCACACCCTCTAAGAGTTTGTAGAGATAACTGAATGAAATGATTGCCGTGACCGAATGCTGTCCCCTGCATGTGTACTAACTGCCTTATCCCCCTTACATCCAGGAGGCGGTTAAGAAACAAACCACCGAACTCTCCCAGCATTAACCAGCAGGCATCTACCACAGGTAAACCACTTCTGTACGGGTAGCACGGGTACTCTGTGGGTAACGCGGGTCCCTGAATGGGTAGCATAGGTACTTTGTATTACTGGTACCTCATGGGCAACGGGTGTAGGCTTTTAATACAGGCATAGATACTTTGTATTACGGGTACCTCATGGGCAGCGGGTGTATTAATACAGGTGCTTACAGTTACTAAGCGTGTCTTATGAGTACACGGACTACCTTAAGGTACTCTGTATCTTATGGGTACCCCGAGTACTAAAATACCCCCGGTTTGCCTAATAGTGGCACATAGTGGATACTAAGGGTATCGAGTACTTTGAGTACCTTTATGAGTACCTATGGTGCTTCATGGGTACTCAAGGTACCTTCTTACATGAGTACCAAGTGTGCCTTGTGGGGGGGGGGGGGGCAGGACATGTCCCAGGGCGCCGGGAAGGGTCGCTACGCCTCTGATGTCGTATGATAGGGATCATTCACGTGTGGCACAGAAATCATTCATGTATGACGGGGACCATTCATGTATGACACGGATCGTTCATATATGACAGGGATCAGTTATGGAACAGCGATCATTCATATGTGACAGTGATCATTCACAATTGACAGAGATTATTCGTGTAAGACATGGGTCATTCATGTATGGCTGGGATCATTCATGCAGTGTTTCTTCCAGACTTTTTTCTCCGGGGGGGGGGGGGGGGGCACTTGAAATCTTCGGGGGGAGGGGGGGGGGGGGAAACTTTCTTCGGGGGGGCGGACACTGTTAAAAGTATATATTTTCTATATAAATTATATACATTTCATTTCGTTCGGGGGGGGGGGGGGCGGTAAAAAATTTTCGAAGAGATCCCTGGAAGAAACTCTGCATTCATGTACGACAGGGATCATTCATGTATGAATATTTAAAATTGTTATGGTAAAATACGATTAAATATAACAATTAAATTTTAATGGCATTTCACCATACTAAACTTTGTATCCCCCCTCCGGAGCCTTAAATTCTTAAAACAAAAAAAATGAGCTAACCCAGTTATTGTATGTGTCTGACCAGCGATCGTTGGCGCCGCCCAGTCTCAAGTCACCATAGCTGTAGCCCCGTCGGCGCCTTCACTCCCGCCACCACCCCCACCTCCACCACCCTCTGTCGCTCCCGCCCCCGCTCCTCCACCGCCACCCCCAAAGAAGAAAGGCAAGAAAGGCGAGCCGGAGATCATCGAGAAGCCCCCAGTGGAGACTGCCAGCAAGGAGTCGCAGACCGAGAACAAGAAAAGCAAGCTCCGCTCCATGTTCTGTCCTTTCTGCCGCCTGGCCGTGGAGTACGGCTTTGAGTACTGAGACGTCTCACGGATCTGGCAAACGGAGAACTTCAAACCACGCACTCGGGGAAAAAAGAGCCAAAAAAAATGGAAGAAAAGCTGTAATTATTTTAAGTAGGCCTTTTACTTTAGGTGAAGAATATATTTAGTATACCAAAAAATTTGGCTCTAAGATAGGATTGGGATCTTAACTATTATTTGGTATTCTCCTAAATGGGCTGTCAGCAGTAGGATAAATTGCATTGTATATATATATATATATATATATATATATATATATATATATATATATATATATATATATATATATAATATGTATAGCCATAAAAAACAACATATGCTGCCTCTCTTTCCTTGCTTGAGAATTCACCAGACCCCCCTCCCCCTTGGTTCATCAGACCCCCCCCCCCCCTCCAATTTTCCTATAAAGGTACAAGATTTACTTCACTTGTATGTATACAATATTCTTCAACTATATGAGTGGCCTATAGTTTGTCTAAGCTTGGCCTTAAAGACCACAACCTGATGTAATTGTATTAATTAACATCAGTTTCAATGTAACATCAACCTCAATGCCACGTAACATCAACCTCAAATGGCGCCTAAGATTAGCCACAAATGTCATGTAGGAAACACCCAATGTAATGTCATATGACATGAGGGACAATGAGAACTAGGTAACATCTACCACGAATAAAGTTGTAACCACAAATGTCATTATGTTTACATCAAATACTAATGCCATTACAATAACATCAGTCATGAATAATGTTGTAGACACTAATGTCATTACAGTAACATCAACAACAAAAATTTTACAGAAACAATAAAAGTTACTGCTGTAACTAAATGTACCTGGAACAACTGTTGGTAACTTAGATAAAATGTAATAAAAGAATGTTAACATCTTTTTAAACTCTTGTGTCATGTTTATGAGGTTGTTGCTGTATTAGAGTAGCCAGGTTTTAGAGCATCTTATCATCAAATGTAGTTTAAGAAAACTGTTTAATGTGGACATTCTGAGAAACCTACGTAGGAAAGCTACCAAATAAATTTTTTATTTTTTAACCCGCAAGTATAGGAAATATTAAAAAAGCATAATCCTATTATGAAATATCTGCCATTGTAAACATAGTCCTAGGATGTTGATAACTAGATGTGTACTATATGGTAGCGCACTACAGACTGGCTGGTGTTAGGGCGTAAGTTTTGACTAGAGTCAAGGTTAGTGTTTGGCTTTAGTTAGGTTTTAGATAGCCCCACTCCCACATGCAATGGTCACAGCCTCTTCTGTGCCAGGCAGAACCAGATATTACCATCAAATTTATTTAAAATAAAATATTTATTTAATCAGAATATATTTGACAACAAAGCATTTTAAAAATATTAACAATTTATTACAAATTTTAAATCAAGTTTGAAAATCTTCGTCATCACTGACAAGAATGGACTGGTGTGGAGAGGAAGAAGCACTGGATTCTATTTTTGTTACTTTCTCATCATAGTCCGAGTCAGAGTCATCACTGACCAAAATTTTATAAAATGGTAGGGAGATTTTACGTGAAAGGACAGAAAGATTTTACCTGCAAAACTATGTAGATTTAATGCAATGGTAGGGTGATTTTAACCTGCAAGGATAGGGAGATTTTATAAAATGGTAGGGAGATTTTACATGCAAGGCTAGGGAGATTTTACTTGAAAGGACAGAAAGATTTATGTAGGGTGGCATTCATGGTCTGTCTCTGCATTGGCCGCAGCTCTTTAATTTTGAACACATTCTTAATAATTTCATCCATCTCTTTGGTCCAAGGGAAATCTAAACCAAAGATAAACAAATTAATCCCAACATGTTTATTCAAACAAAAGTCTTTTAAATGTATATCAATCATGTTTAAAACATGTACAGTTTTAAGTATACATTAATTTCTGTAAAGAAATCAACGTAAAGTGAGTTGTTTATCCTAGCATAAAAAGAATACTTGATTAAGATTTATGTACAAGATATTTCATAGACTTGAGATGAAGGAATCTTCAACTATGCTCTGCCAATATGTGACCTATTATGGAGTTACACATTAATGATTAAGCTGTTCAAATGAAATGTAATTTCTAGCAAAGATAATTACCTCCATGGAAAACTAAGTGTTAAATAAAGTATATTCCTAACACAATTTGGAGAATTCAATATATCACTAATATAGAACTGAATTAAACAGAAATGTGCATTATTTACACCAAGAGAGTATTAAATTCTGGAAAAACTCAGTGCATGATATGCAGTAGAAAAAGCCTCTCATCGGGGATTTAAGACTTTAAATTATGATAGTTAACTACTGATCTATTAGATAATAAGCAGCAATCCGATTACAAAACCCTTCTGATGCTGACAATGATCTACTCCTCCCCCCTTCCCATCACACACCTTCACTATCCCATTTGATGTCCAGCTTTTTCTGATGAGCTTCTTCCTCATGTTGGGAAAGAATTGTTTTTAATTCTGTTCGTTTGTTCAGTAGCTGACTTTGTCGCTCTAATAATTCTTGAAGCTCAACTTCCACCAGCTCCAATTCCTCCTCAACCTTGGTGAGTTCTTTCTGATATTCTGAAAAACAATTTTAAAAAACCCTCAAAATATATGTTACTATATAGATCTAATAGGCCATATGTATTATGTAATATGTAGGATGTAAGCCTATCAGTTCACAATACTCTAAAAATTTTGAAAAAAATTATGCTTGCACTAGGCAAATGGCTGACACAATTGTCACATTGTGCAATATACTTTTTGCCCAATCTATTTAAATGCAAAACTCACTCAACTAGACTAGATCTAGATCTAGTCAGTCAGTCAGACAATTTGTCACAATTATTTTTAAAAAAATGCAAACTCAAATATTAAATAAATTGTAATCTATCGTTTTGGGTACGTAAAAAGCGCTGCGGCTATTAATGTACGAAAACGTTACCTCATTGTCAAGGCTTTAATAGAAGTATTTTGTGATATGTTTGTGTCAAATATTATAGATAAATGAATAATAAACCGAAATCAATGGCTAAATATATCAATATAGGCCAGAAATTAACTTTAAATAGCAAGATTTGCTATATAAACAGCAGCCATTTGTAAAATAGAGTGGCTTCTCCCTGAATCTCGCGCTATAAGTTTATAAAAATAAAACTTAAACAAGATGGCTGCTATAGTAAATGAGCACGGTTGCATCTGTTGGAAACATCGCTAGTCTTCATTTATTACTGAAAAGTTTTAATTCAACTGTTTAAAAACAGGTACATAAATGAAACAAGGAAACATTTTTGTATTTTAAAAACATAAATCCTCCTCAAAATGTGAAATAATTATTAAAATTTAAGGAGTCACCTGTTTTTCACATTACAAGTCGCGGGCGATTTTACGTACCTAAAAAGATAGATTACCAACAAATTCATCAATCTGACAACTAATTTGAAATTTCTTCACATTTTAGTTCATACCTGCCATTTGAGAAAAACAGGAACAGGAATGTGTTACAAATTTGGAAATGCACAATCCTAATAATTAGGCTTATTAAATGGGTTAGGCCTACAGAGTTGAATGTGATTTGGATTTAAATCTAAGGTTTTTAATTCTTTTGATTTAAGCATTTTAAAACAAAACACAGGATCGAAGAATATAAACATTCGGTTGCAGTCAGCCGCTAACAGTAAAAAATTAAGAAATTAATAATTTTTGCAGACTAAAATAAAAGGCTTTGTGCAAAAAATCGGAGAAAAACGCCGAAGAAAAAAACAACTCTGACATTTTAGCACCAAACATGAACACGTCCACCGACTCCATCTCCCGGGAGTTGTTGTGTAGGGACGCCAGGCTAGGCCGTGGGGCGGACAACTTTGGAGGCTCGTACAAGTCCAGGAACAGCTCAGGGAACCAGGTCACTAGGGATGACCTGAATTACAAATTTCAACCCAAAACCAAAGAAAAAGGTAAGCATTTTAACACTGTATCACTCTACAGTTTCATCACTTCTTGAGTCTATTGATCACTAACACGACACTCCAGAGTTTGTTGTCCATTTAGAAAGTGTCTGGCATAGAATCCACAGTGTGGACACGAAGACGCCATGACTAATGACATTGACCGCAGTCACTATACCTAGCGTTTTGGTAGCCTACAATCCTAGGGTGATTAGACATACTTTAATGACAATACTCATTGATTGAATGTAATTCATCACACATTAATTCATCACACAAAATACTGAACCAATTCGCCAGCCTAAAGATAGTCACACTCGTTCGTTAGAAGTTCTCGCTGCCAAATTATAGGCTGCATTTGTGTTTTTACTAGTATTGGTCAATCGCTCAACTACATGTTACTTATTAACGCTGGCTTAAATAAAGTCCCTGACCCAACGTAACGTAGTGTGTAGCAGCGGTAGCCATATCATAAGGCTCTAACAGAGTTTCTTCCAGGCATCTCTTCGGGGGGGGGGGGGCGAAGAATTTTTTTACCGCCCCCCACCTAAACGAAATGAAATTTATATAATTTATATAGAAAATATATGCTTTTAACAGTGTCCGCCCCCCCCCCCCCCGAAGAAAGTCTACCCCCCGAAAATTTCATGTGCCCCCCCCCCCCCCCCACCGGAGAAAAAAGTCTGGAAGAAACACTATTCTCTAAAGGTAGCGAATAGCAAAGATAGCAAGAAGCTAGGGCTTCGGAGATATTAAATACACAAGATAGTAGTGTATCGATAGTTAAAGATATCGACCAGCAAAGACTAGGTAGCAAGTAGCAAAGTCATTACAGGTAGCCAGTTACAAAGACTCTATAAGTAGCCAGTAGCAAAGACTCTTTAGGTAGCCAGTGGCAAAGGCTCAACCATGTTTTCATGTCGTGTTTACAGAGGGTGCCGCCGAAGGTGACGACAAGGGCAAAGGTCACAGCAAGAAGAAACACAAGGCCGACAGCCGCAAAAGCCAGCAGATGAAAGGTCGAAAGCAGATAATGATCGACCCATCATCTGACATGGAGGGCTTACAATCCGCACTCGTACGCTTCATTTTTTCTAGCTGGAGTTGGTTGGGTGAACCGGGTGGTCAGGGTTTTAGCAACACGATGTATATTTTAGTACATAGCCAATCCCTTCTAACAGGGTGACACCAGCCAAGGGGTGACATCACAACGAAATGTAACAAATTTTAATGAGAAATTCTACTCATTAAAGTTTTTTTTTAGGCAATGGGTGACACACTTAGAGATGGGGGTGACACCGAGTTGCTTAGACTAGAGTATATCTTATGGCCTTTCATATAGTTGTTGGTGGGGGTGGGGGTGACACCAAGTTACTTATATAAAAATATCTCCGTCTTTCTGTCTGTCCGTCTGTCTCTCTCTCTCTCTCTCTCTCTCTCTATATATATATATATATATATATATATATATATATATATATATATATATATATATATATATATAATGATAAGTCGCGGTTTACGGGAAATATACGATGTACTAAGTAGCCATACAGTTTACTTCGAAAATGTTATATCAGTGTATTATTGCATTATAATATGTGCACACCCTCTAAGAGTTTGTAGAGATAACTGAATGAAATGATTGCCGTGACCGAATGCTGTCCCCTACATGTGTACTAACTGCCTTATCCCCCTTACATCCAGGAGGCGGTCAAGCAAAGAACGATCGAGCTCTCCCAGCCTGGGGAGCTGCAAGTCAAGGCATCGGGCATGAAACAGCAGGCATCTACCACAGGTAACTACACGTTACTTTCTAATGCTGGCTTAATAAAAGCCCCTGACCCAACGTAACGTAGTGTGTAGCAGCGGTAGCCATATCATAAGGCTCTAAAGGTAGCGAATAGCAAAGATAGCAAGAAGCTAGGGCTTCAGAGATATTAAATACACAAGATAGTTGTGTATTGATAGTTAAAGATATCGACCTTCAAAGACTAGGTAGCAAGTAGCAAAGTCATTACAGGTAGCCAGTTACAAAGACTCTTTAGGTAGCCAGTAGCAAAGACTCTTTAGGTAGCCAGTAGCTAAGACTCTTTAGGTAGCCAGTAGCTAAGACTCTAGGTAGCCAGTGGCAAAGGCTCAACCATGTTTTCATGTCGTGTTTACAGAGGGTGCCGCCGAAGGTGACGACAAGGGCAAAGGTCACAGCAAGAAGAAACACAAGGCCGACAGCCGCAAAAGCCAGCAGATGAAAGGTCGAAAGTACGTCATGCTCGACCCCTCATCCGACATGGAGGGCTTCCAATCCGTACTCGTACGCTTCATTTTTTCTAGCTGGAGTTGGTTGGGTGAACCGGGTGGTCAGGGTTTTAGCAACACGATGTATATTTTAGTACATAGCCAATCCCTTCTAACCGGGTGACACCAGCCAAGGGGTGACATCACAACGAAATGTAACAAATTTTAATGAGAAATTCTACTCATTAAAGTTTTTTTTAGGCATAGGGTGACACACTTAGAGATGGGGGTGACACCGAGTTGCTTAGACTAGAGTATATCTTATGGCCTTTCATATAGTTGTTGGTGGGGGTGGGGGTGACACCAAGTTACTTATATAAAAATATCTCCGTCTTTCTGTCTGTCCGTCTGTCTCTCTCTCTCTCTCTCTCTTTATATATATATATATATATATATATATATATATATATATATATATATATATAATGATAAGTCGCGGTTTACGGGAAATATACGATGTACTAAGTAGCCATACAGTTTACTTCGAAAATGTTATATCAGTGTATTATTGCATTATAATATGTGCACACCCTCTAAGAGTTTGTAGAGATAACTGAATGAAATGATTGCCGTGACCGAATGCTGTCCCCTACATGTGTACTAACTGCCTTATCCCCCTTACATCCAGGAGGCGGTCAAGCAAAGAACGATCGAGCTCTCCCAGCCTGGGGAGCTGCAAGTCAAGGCATCGGGCATGAAACAGCAGGCATCTACCACAGGTAACTACACGTTACTTTCTAATGCTGGCTTAATAAAAGCCCCTGACCCAACGTAACGTAGTGTGTAGCAGCGGTAGCCATATCATAAGGCTCTAAAGGTAGCGAATAGCAAAGATAGCAAGAAGCAAGGGCTTCAGAGATATTAAATACACAAGATAGTTGTGTATTGATAGTTAAAGATATCGACCTTCAAAGACTAGGTAGCAAGTAGCAAAGTCATTACAGGTAGCCAGTTACAAAGACTCTTTATGTAGCCAGTAGCAAAGACTCTTTAGGTAGCCAGTAGCAAAGACTCTTTAGGTAGCCAGTAGCAAAGACTCTTTAGGTAGCCAGTAGCAAAGACTCTTTAGGTAGCCAGTAGCAAAGACTCTTTAGGTAGCCAGTAGCAAAGACTCTTTAGGTAGCCAGTAGCAAAGACTCTTTAGGTAGCCAGTAGCAAAGACTCTTTAGGTAGCCAGTAGCAAAGACTCTTTAGGTAGCCAGTAGCTAAGACTCTAAGTAGCCAGTAGCAAAGACTCTTTAGGTAGCCAGTAGCTAAGACTCTAGGTACCCAGTGGCAAAGGCTCAACCATGTTTTCATGTCGTGTTTACAGAGGGTGCCGCCGAAGGTGACGACAAGGGCAAAGGTCACAGCAAGAAGAAACACAAGGCCGACAGCCGCAAAAGCCAGCAGATGAAAGGTCGAAAGTACGTCATGCTCGACCCCTCATCCGACATGGAGGGCTTCCAATCCGTACTCGTACGCTTCATTTTTTCTAGCTGGAGTTGGTTGGGTGAACCGGGTGGTCAGGGTTTTAGCAACACGATGTATATTTTAGTACATAGCCAATCCCTTCTAACCGGGTGACACCAGCCAAGGGGTGACATCACAACGAAATGTAACAAATTTTAATGAGAAATTCTACTCATTAAAGTTTTTTTTAGGCATAGGGTGACACACTTAGAGATGGGGGTGACACCGAGTTGCTTAGACTAGAGTATATCTTATGGCCTTTCATATAGTTGTTGGTGGGGGTGGGGGTGACACCAAGTTGCTTATATAAAAATATCTCTGTCTGTCTGTCCGTCTGTCTCTCTCTCTCTCTCTTTATATATATATATATATATATATATATATATATATATATATATATATATATATATATATATATATATATATAAAATGATAAGTCGCGGTTTACGGGAAATATACGATGTACTAAGTAGCCATACAGTTTACTTCGAAAATGTTATATCAGTGTATTATTGCATTATAATATGTGCACACCCTCTAAGAGTTTGTAGAGATAACTGAATGAAATGATTGCCGTGACCGAATGCTGTCCCCTACATGTGTACTAACTGCCTTATCCCCCTTACATCCAGGAGGCGGTCAAGCAACGAACGATCGAGCTCTCCCAGCCTGGGGAGCTGCAAGTCAAGGCATCGGGCATGAAACAGCAGGCATCTACCACAGGTAACTACACGTTACTTTCTAATGCTGGCTTAATAAAAGCCCCTGACCCAACGTAACGTAGTGTGTAGCAGCGGTAGCCATATCATAAGGCTCTAAAGGTAGCGAATAGCAAAGATAGCAAGAAGCAAGGGCTTCAGAGATATTAAATACACAAGATAGTTGTGTATTGATAGTTAAAGATATCGACCTTCAAAGACTAGGTAGCAAGTAGCAAAGTCATTACAGGTAGCCAGTTACAAAGACTCTTTTGGTAGCCAGTAGCTAAGACTCTTTATGTAGCCAGTAGCAAAGACTCTTTAGGTAGCCAGTAGCAAAGACTCTTTAGGTAGCCAGTAGCAAAGACTCTAAGTAGCCAGTAGCGAAGACTCTTTAGGTAGCCAGTAGCAAAGACTCTTTAGGTAGCCAGTAGCAAAGACTCTTTAGGTAGCCAGTAGCAAAGACTCTTTAGGTAGCCAGTAGCAAAGACTCTTTAGGTAGCCAGTAGCAAAGACTTTTTAGGTAGCCAGTAGCAAAGACTCTTTAGGTAGCCAGTAGCAAAGACTCTTTAGGTAGCCAGTAGCAAAGACTCTTTAGGTAGCCAGTAGCAAAGACTCTTTAGGTAGCCAGTAGCTAAGACTCTAAGTAGCCAGTAGCAAAGACTCTTTAGGTAGCCAGTAGCTAAGACTCTAGGTAGCCAGTGGCAAAGGCTCAACCATGTTTTCATGTCGTGTTTACAGAGGGTGCCGCCGAAGGT